CGCTGCAGATATGGACATGGGATTCGGAGAAAGCCGCGTCGAGGATGGAGAAGAGGACGACCAGGTTTTGTTCGACTTTGACGATGACAACCGAGGCGGCAAGAAGAGAAAGCGTGGACCTAAGAAGAAGAAGGGTGACAAGGACAGCGCGGCTGATGTTATGCGAGTCGTTGAAAGTCGCAAGAAGGACGCTTCTTGATGACTTGTCTTGGTTTCCTGGGCATTAGCTACTGGACATGACCTTGAGAAATTGAAGCTACTCGATACCCCCGCTTTGCTATCTGTTCTTTGTCTGCTGTAGCTGTAGCCGTACTTATAGCTTGGGAAGGCGTGAAGGGTGATATGCTTCCCCCCGGCCTGCTCTTGGGCTACATTTGACTGGGCTGTTTTGATGTACGGCTACAGATCGAGTAGTGACTGATGGTATGATAGTAACTGGCTGTTAAACTCTACCTTACTTGTTATGCGCTCGATTCTGAAGTTGTTGCTTGCACCCCTATTGAGCGAACGGTCTCATACTGTGTCTACTGTAGCCACCAAAGTGTGTGTAGTTGTGGCATGGCGATGCCATAATAAGCAAGTCTTACAATACGATGAATCTATCCAATTTCCTATTGATAACTCCCATCAATAGCGGACTCACTCCCCCTCGACTCCCTTGTTCCCCATGCGCCATACAGCAGTCCCCAGCTCCGAGTCATCGAACCCCCGACTTTCGATCCTAGGGCGACGAGGTTGAGACAGGGTTGACGAGGTATTTCTGCCTGTATCTAGTCAAGTGCTTCGTTCAGTCCACGGTACAACTCGTTACTATCCCCGTTGTGGTGCCAATTTCCCGATTGGGAAGGGAGCTGGAAAGCTTCATGTGTGACTCTTCATATAAATACCCCATCCCTTTCCATCTTTCCCCCATTTCTTTCTTTCTTTTACATCTCCCCTTCCCTTCCCATATTCCTCCCCCCTCCCCCCAATCCCCTTCCCCTCCCCCATCAGGTTTCTATCCCCACTCTGGTTTTCGAATGTTTTATTCCTCATTTCCATCTTCGTGACCATGTCCTCGACATGCTCGCGCTTGTTTCCAAAGGACACGACAAAATTTAATCTCGCTGCCGCTGGTGGCTGCCCTGACTGCTTATTCAGGCCTTGTGGCCCACTTTCTGGCTGTAAGTTCCTCGTTTCTTCCATCCACCTTTCCTTGCCCTTCTGCCTTGACGCCTTGACACCTTTTTTCATGTCACTGTATCATTGCACCTTGACGTCTTCATGCCTTCATACCTTCATGCCTTCATGTCTTTATATCTTGATGCCTTTCTGTCTTCATGCCTTCATGTATTTATGCCTTTATGTCTTTTTCCTCGAATTTCCCTTTTTTTTTTTTCTGGGACCGCCAACCAGTGCCATCATGATCGAGTGCTAGCCTGCCGGCTTTTGGGCATCAAGCTGAGGAAGACGTATGTTTTCCAGGTACTAGGGATTTCGCGAATCGACTACACCCGCTTCGACAGAAGAACAGCATGGTGAGTTCCTCTTCCGTGATTAAGATGTCCGTTTTCCGTAGTCCCCTTTGCCGTCACGTTGAGGTTAGTCTCACCAGCTTTGGACATCAAGCTGAGGAAGACGATGTTTTCCAGGTTTTAGGAATCCCGCATTGCATCGACTGCACCGTTTACTGCCTCCAGATGGTACAATGCGAATGTTCTCGCTTGCCCTTATTGTCAACTTTGTTGCGCTTCGACATGGAATACAGTGGGAGGATGGGTTTCACGACGTTGGGAAGCGGAGGATGGTGGTGCAGTACTTGTACTGCTTAAGTGAGTTATGTTATGACCAAACCTGCTGTTTTAAGTCTGACGAGAAATTCTGCGGTACAATAGGAGCATGACCGATGGGACATAAGACGAACTGAAGCACGAAATGAATATCATGGTGAGTTCTTCACTCGTGATTAAGATGCCCACATTCCGTAATCTTTTGCCATAACGATGAGGTTATTCTCACCAGCTTTGGGCATCAAGCCGTTTCTTCCAGGTCCTAGGTATCCTGTGCTGCAACCCTCTGCACCCGCCGACTTTGGTCGTTCCAACAGCTTTCCAGTGAGTACCGTTCTCGTGATGAAGAGGTGTCCTCATTTCTTTTGCCGGCGCAATGAGGTATGACTCACTACAGTTAAGCTGATGTGAATGGCGGGCATGGGTTCTAAGAACTTGACGACATCCATCCACTGCATCCGCTGCAGTCGCCAGCTGTCTCCAAGCTTGAAACCAGCCTTGCAGTGAGTACCTCTCCCGTGATTAAGATGCCCACGTTCTGTATTCTGAGGTCTGCCTCACCAGCTTTTGGGTATCAATCTGAGGAAGACGATTGTTCTCGGTCTCTTTAGGATCACCACATCTAGCCCTCCCTTTCTTCTCCGGCTACAACTGCCACCTTTTTCACGCAGGTGAGCCAATCCTATCTATTTACTGTGCACATGAATATCTCTGGAATTCTTGTCTATGCTCACGCTAATGAGAGCAATTGCATTGGGGACTCCTTTACAGACATTATGACGATCTGGCTATGGCCGTCACAAGAGCCCGCCGCTCCAGTCCTACGATTCATCCCTCATTTCCAGTCATCTACAAGAAAGATAACACATGTGCGGGCTGCACTTTGCTTTCATAACAAGCTAGCAGTTTCTAAGCTAGTGGACCGCTTCTTGTCCCACAGAAACTGCTTCGGTTTACACGTATCTCTGAACAGGCCTGGACAGGAAGTGAGATCTGCATATTCAACGAGTTTTTGAGTGGAAATTGTGGAGGCAGATATTTCCTTGAAACATAATACAACCAATGCTCTCTTTCAATATGCTTGCGCGAGTGATCTGAGATGTAGGGTTGGGGACTGGTCCGTGCGTCTGACGTCGGACTTTATTCTCACTACATGTCTTCAGCCATCGCAGCAACTACACAGGCTCATGACACTTCGCTGCTACCGCGAGAATGTCCGCACTGGGCTAAAATATTACCACCAGCCGTTCATAATTACGACTCCGAAGCACCAGTGTATCATGACAGACACCAAAGGCAAATCAAGGCATGAATCTCAGAAAGTGCGTAAGGAAAAACGACAGCCTCTGACCCATTTTCTTTGTCTACCTCTGATCAACACTACTTCAATTACCCAACTGGAGTCCTCAATCACAGGTTTCAAAACAGCTCATCTGCCTGGCCCCGGGTCAACTTCTCCAGCATGTCCCAACGACCAAGCCAGCACCTCGCGTTTGGTCATACCCAGCAGCGCATTCCGCCCATTGGGAACCCTCCATCTTACACTCGGGGTAATGAGTCTCTGCAACAAAGAGCGCCTGGAACAGGCTATATCCTTCTTTCGATCTCTCGACTTGAAAGCCCTGATCAGTGAGGCCGATCAAGTCGCTGCTCGAAAGAGAAACACCCATACTCCATCAGAATCATCGGTATCCACCCATGTGACAGATCAAGACCAGCCTCTGATTGTCTCACTTGAGTCATTACACGCGCTCCCCAGTGCCAAATCTGCAACTGTTCTACATGCCTCTCCAGTCGACCCCACAGGCCGCTTATACCCGTTTTGCGTGATGCTTCGGGACAAATTCATTGGAGCTGGATTTATCGAAAATGAGGCTTCAAAAGCTCATGCTAAAGAAAAAACGTACCAAAAATCCTCTACCAATGACAACAACGTAGCAAATACGTCTACGCCGTTACTGAATCTCCCAACTTCTCCGCCAGCTGAGCAAAAGTCAGGTTCGCTAGCAGATGTGGACCCATATACAGCCGCTTTGTCCCGAAAGCCCAAACCCCGGCCGCTTCTATTGCATGCCACCCTCGTCAACACAATTTACGTCCCTGGTCGGCAGAATGTCCAAAGTAAAGGCAGTAAAGGCACAGAGAGGAACAAATCGCCGAAACGCATCACATTCGATGCTCGCGACCTAGTCTCCCAGTACAAGGATTACTACACTGACGAGACACGGGCCAATGCACGGCCGGTAAACTTCGAAACAAAGGACCACCCTGAATCATCCTCTGTTGCCAACGGTAACTGCAAGCAACCCGAATCCCCGGGACAAAATTTCCACTCAGCGGATTCTCGGCAATCAAAGCCTACCTACCCCTTCATCTGGGCGAAAGACATTACCTTGGATACAGTCTGCATCTGCGAGATGGGGGCGAAAAAGATCCCTTCGCATCTCAATGTCACCAGTAATCATGACTTGGACAATCGTCTCGGCGAGAAGTACACGGTCGTGTCTGAGAGGAGCCTGGGTGATAAGTAGCCATTGCGTCCCTCATCAACCAAATTATTGCTTTTTGTAGAATAAAGTGGTTGCAAAGGATGTTGGGACTGCAGCAGGGGTCATAAATGTGTATACCGTGCCAGTGATGGAGTATTGGATAGTACACGAAAACCTTGAAGCGAGTAACTTATACCATATCATGCATGTTCTTGCCCTACTTTGGCCTCCCTTTTTGCAAGCCTTTGTGGCCCATCTCGAGTGCCTCGGGTTCATCTTGTATATTGTGTAAAGATCGGGGTGTGGAAGGACTTCTGACCTATGACTCTGTGCATGTAAGATACCTTCTTAGATATGATTCCAATAATTTTTCCAAAAAGTTTTCTTTCATTGTTCTGTTGCTAGTACTATTAATGCTTAAACAGAATCCCAAGCCTGCTTGGGTTAAGTTGCTAGTAGTTGGGGGTCTTCATTGTGACATGCGTTGCCTTCTGACTCTGACCCAGGCCCGGGCTGAACTGGGCCATACAGTAAAGCAGTGATAGACTGCGTCCAAAGATTGGGTATTATCGAATCCCAGAAACCGTTGCATAGACCCGGCTCCCACGACAGGCAGGATGAGACACATCATTGCTGTCTCAGCATTGGAGGCGATGTGTAGTGGATTTTGATCCATTCAAAGTCCTGACATGTCCGAATAAAGAATCAGAAAAAAGGGTGGGCGTAATCCATCCCCGCTGAATCATCTTAGTCGGCTCATGATAGTTTCCATTCCTCGTTCAACAGACAACTCCGCAGCCTTCGCCTTGATCGAGGTGATCATGCTACGCTCGAAGTCATCACGGGTGCGCAGTACAGCTTCGACCCAAGAAAGCTGCAGATCCCAGTATTCCAACTTGAAGGACTCATATACTTCAACAAGACCAGGGCCCTTCTCAGTCGCCAACAAGCGAACAAGCCAGTCGACGAGTCGCCACTTCTGTTTTATGGTACCCTCGAACGAATCGGGATAGTTTTCAAAGAATGCAAAGACAGTGAGGACGTCGTCTTTGAATTTCTCTGTAAAGGGGTCGACCTGGCGGCGGAACTTGACGCCCTTGTTGCGAACAGCTCCCAAGTATCGCACCAGCAGCTCGTCTGAGAGTTCCTCTACCAGGATTTCGGCTAGTGAGGGGTGCAGCACGGGTGTATAATCTGACATGTAATCTTCGAATGTGGAAGTAATGCGCTTCATGGCGTACTCGCCGTACCACCTGGCTGTGAAAATGTCCGGTAACACAGAGTCGAGATCGACAGTGAAGACAATATTGACAAACTTGGCCAGACAATGCGTGCTCAAATCAACGTAACCATCGCGCAGAACTTCCAGCTCGATATTCGCCCTTGTAGCCATGTACTTGGCTGTCACGAGAGTTTCGAAGTCATTTTTGAAACGGGTCAAGTAGCCAAATTGGCCTGTCTCCTCGTTATCATCAATGCAGGAGATTTGGTCATTGGCCACGCCGATCATCCAGTCTTGTAGTAGCTGCACGCCTTCGGCTTGGTCGGCGCTTGCGGCTTGATGCCTGGCGCATTCTTCGTCGATGAGTGCCTGCCATGCGCTCTGGCGTGCCTTGAGTGCTCGGAACATGGCATCAATCACACCTTCCACTACGTCTGCGCGGTCGGATGCTCCTGATGCCATGACTTGTTCATGAAGCATGCGCCACATGTCTGCCAGGGTCTTGGTACGGAAGTGGCCTTCGGCATTGTTGTCTAGGGCATCTGAATCTCGGTCCATAAGTGACTTTTTGTCTGCGTTGAAAATGCGGTCCATCCATTCTTCGACTGCGTTGATGATGACGCTCTGCCATTGTCGCACCAGTTCTGGCTCCCGGTCGTCCAGGATGTTGGGCTGGAGCTCCGCCGGTGTCCAGCCGAGCTTTTTCATTTTCTTGTAGTACTTGTCGCTCCAGTGGATGATGGCAAGGAGATTGTCCGCTGGGAGCTCGGGATCGTCGATCATGCCAACCAGGGAGTCGTGCATTAGGCGATGATAAATGTCTGTGTATGTCTTGTAGATCTTCCATTTCTTCGGGACAAGGTTCTGCATGCCTTGCTTTACTGTGAATAGATCGTTGAAGTACCATCGGAAGCTCTTTTCCAGGTTCTCCGGGTCACTTAGGAAATTCTCCAATGTTTCCTCGAATTGACCTTTTGCGTATAGCTCAATAGCCTGAATAAACTTGTCTTTATACCCGCGCACAGTCTTAGGTCCAATGTTCATAGACTTGAAACGACTTGCGAGGTCCTTGTGGTCTTTTTGGGCTTCCTGCAAAGCGCGCACTGTGTCGTCATTCTTTTCCTCGTTCATGACCACAACTGCCAGACGCACAACCATGCTCTTGTTATCAGACTGCACCAACGGAATGAGATTCATGCATGCTGTTCCAAGATGGTCATCGAACCATTCAATGACAGAGTCCAACCCCTCAAAATACTCTGTCAAGGTCTCCTGACTACTTTGGTCATGAGCTTTGCCAATCTGATCCATAGCCTCATCACGAAAGTCCCGCAATCTCGAGATTTGCATATGAGCACGGAGAAGATTGGGCTGGTTCTCCATGTCCTCGTCGTCCTCCCTGAGCAGCTCTTCCACTTCTTGGATATCACCACCAAAATTCTCCAATCCGCGTTTCATCATAAGTGTTGCATCGAAGTGCCGTTGGATCCGAGCTAGCTGGTCGATCTGCGCGAAGTCCTCTACGCTCTCCTGCGATTCGGCGCACAGCTTGTCGATGCCCTGGAGCTCATCTTTGGTTTTCGAGACTTGTCGTTGACCCTCTGTCAGAGCGCCAATACTGCGTTGTACAGCCTCCAATTGGTCCCGAAGGCCTTCTCGCAACCGCGAATCGACTGCCGCCTTCTTCCGTAAGTAGTCGGCCTTAAGACTGCTGATCTTGTCTAGATCCTCTGGGTGCCGGAGGAGATCCTCCAGTCGCGGCATGGCGACAGTCGTATTGTCAGTGTTGACTTGCGCCATGATTGCGGTGGAGGTAATCCGTGATATCGTACGTGCGGCTCAATGCTTTGAAGCTGTCGAGGGGTGAGGTGTCAACAATGCGGGCATGAGACGTATTTCTGGAAGAGCAAGTCACGGGAGCTCTGAGTAAGGCTGGTATATGAAGATTCACATCCAGATAACACAGCCCATAGTCTCCGCTAACTCGATGTAGTTATTGTCCATCAAGGAACTACATCGCCGTGACGCTGCGGTCATCGGATCGCGGCAGAACCAGCACGTGACACACCGCCCTTCAATTGAATTTGCGGGATCCGCGATCATCTCCAGCTCCGATTCCATTCCTCGCGCAGAAACATCAGAAACAATTGCGCCGCAGGTATCCTCTGTACCTCCTATCTGCTGATACCCCGATATCTTTCGACCCATCAAATACATTCCGTCCGTTCCGAGTGCGATTTCATAGCCCGGAGAACGCTGAACCATCAGAACAACAAATATCAAATCCTCTGATATCCTCAAACTCCTTCCCCTAAACCATTACATCGCCAAAATGAGCTACTTTCGCGTCACCCTCATGCGCTCCGCAATCGGTCTCCCGCGCCGCTCAACAGATGTGCTCAAGGCTCTCGGTCTGAAGAAGCGTATGGCCACAGTTTTCCACCCCGTCTCACCATCCGTCGCCGGTCAGATCATGAGAGTCAAGGAGCTGGTCCAAGTTGAGGAGTGCGAGAAGCGCCTCACGAAGCAAGAGGTGCACCTCGAGCGGAAACCTGATCCCGGATACTATGTGGAGAAGACCGCAGCCCGGCAACAGAAGGAATTGCACATGCCATAATGTTCATCTGTTCTCTTTGAGCTGGCTGTGTTGCTTTTGATTTGATACCTGTGTCGAATGGTTAGTCCGTCGACTTGTGATTTCTAGTCCCCGGTTCACAAGACATTTGGTATATTCGGGGATCTTGTATCCGGGGACGGGACTAGGCACGGTCAAGATCTTTCTGTAGATTGATCTGTTCGTTTGTCCGGTTTTTCTATTTTTTGTTGTTTTGGCTTTCCTTGCATGGAGCGGGTTGCTTTATTATTTTGATCATGTACTCTACGTCCTCATTTATCAAGCAGATGTCTCTGCTGCAACCATTGTATTATACATTTGACATACTGCTCCTTGGGGCTTTGCAATATTCTCGTGGTTACTTCACATCGTAACTAAGATTCAATCTGTGAGAAAGCCTCCTGTGGGGTAAAAAACAACTCTCAATCGTAGCAATGCTTCTGTCGCTGATTCCCCCACGCTGAACAGAATTAGGGCTCAAGGTGATTTTCAAGAGAACGGCGGATAGCTGGTTGCATTTAAATAGCCTCATCCTCACGGAGGTAAGAATGTATAAGTAACCTTACTCCATATAAAACAGCGTCCTCCGTTTCTTTGATACACTTCTCTCCAATGGTCCTCTGGTTCCCAGTCTGTGTCCCAAATTTTTTAAGCCCATAGATTATGTCGTCATGGCGAGTCCGGTCTATCCCAGAGGACTCTGCGGCCACAATTCTTTAAAGGCTTTCTAAGTATAGAGTCCACCCGGGCACCAAGTAACATCGGATTCATCCGGATACAACTCAAAAACACATCGTATAGTCTTGCATATTATAAACTAGTATTTCACGTTGAACGAAACGCCAACTTTAGGGGAGCCGTCTGTCCTTGCGGACTTCTCTATATCATTCAAAGGTTTGTTTACTCGTATCCGATCGCCTTGGGGTACCGCACGTACGCCAACTGGCCCGAGGGAGCCATGGCCATGCTAGTCTCTCCGGACACGCCAGGCTCCTCGCCAAGCATGTTCTGAGGGTAGCCGATATCGAGCGGCTTAACAGCCTCGAGGAAGGCAATCTGAGCATCAGTGAGACGAATGCTCAGCGCCTTAATGTTGTCGTGCAGGTGCTCAACCTTACGGCCGCCGACGAGAGGGAACACATTGGGTGTCTTGGAGAGGACGTAAGCCAGCGCAATTGCGGTAACCGACTCGATACCGTGCTCGGAAGCAACCTGCGCGAGAGCCTCGCTCATGCGAACCTGGTCTTCGCCCTGCTCGGAGCCCATCATCTTGCGCAGGCCCTCCCCGCTAGCAGCGCGCTCAGCAAGCGCAGCCTTGGTCTGGAACTTGCCTCCACCGACGGCGTCCCAAGGGGCGAGCGCCATGCCGAACCGGCGTGCCATGGGGATAATCTCACGCTCAAAATCGCGGCTTAGCACGTTCCACCGGCCCTGGTAGATGCTAAACTGGGTCTTGCCCGTCAAGCGAGCGTATGTGTTTGCCTCACTGACAATCCATGCGGGCGTGTTGCAAATTCCGAGGTAGAGAACCTTGCCGGACTGTACGAGAGCGTGTAGGCTATCCATAATCTCTTCGACCGAAGTTGTGTAGTCCCACCAGTGGACGTACAGAATGTCGATATAGTCAGTGCGCAGCTTCTCCAGAGAGTCGCGGACGCTCATGTGCAGGCTACGCTTGTGGTTGCCAGCGTGGTTGACAGTCTTTCCCTTGCCCTTTGCGTATGCCTTATACTCGCCGGTGTACTTGGTAGCAAGTACGAGCTGGTCACGGTTGTCGCGCTCCGCCATCCACTCGCCGATCCATGTCTCGGACTCTTCGTTCTGGTAGTTATTGGCTGTGTCAATGAAGTTGCCGCCGGCCTCTGTGAATGCGTCGAGCAGCTTGTAAGAGGCCTTCTTGTCCATTGTGCCCATCGCGGCGGACCATGCTGAGCCGATGGACATGGCCCCGAGTTGCAGAGGAGACACGCGAATGCCAGCTGTTGAGGACAACACTCGGTAGCGGCCTAGCTCTGTGGGAGGGGCCGGGGCAGGGGCGAAGGCGTCCATTATGACTGGTTGGTGGGTATAGGTAGACTTGAGGTAGAGGGGTGGAAGGAAGAGGGAGCGACCCAGGGGGGATCGGCTTTATATATGGCTTAGTGGAACTATAACCCATGGATCTGACAACGGGGGATCAATCGGATTGTGCTATTTATTAGACGAGGCCCACTGTTCATTTTTCCTAATTGAGGTTGTGTTGTGCCGTGATGTTTATACTTTATACACGACTTCATCTACAATCCATGCACATTTACCCTTTGAACAACTGAATTAACAATATTATGTCCTAAAATATATATACAGAGAAAGTACCAGACAATAACATCGCAAGTACGCAGTACAAGTATCACATATTACATCAGGAAATAGGGAATGTGTTCAGTTCCCTTGGATCGTCATCCTCTTCATGTTCTCCCAAACATTTCCAGACCGCTGGAACACCTTTTCGGCCATATACTTCATCTTCTTTCCCGAAGGGCTGGCGATAAAGCCTGCCTCGACGAGGAACTGCACGTTGCGCCGCACCGTGGCCTTGACGTGCTGCTTCTGTGATGGCGACACCATATTCGGGTCCAGCATAACGTCACCACCGAGACGGCCCTCTAGTGCGTCAAAGACCTGGGACACAGGCCACAGGGGGTGTGAGCTGGATTCCTTCTGGATGGAGTCACGCATCGTCTCCAGCCAGGTGTTGTGGTCCACCTTGCGCAGGGGGTACTTGAGCTCACGGTGGAAGATCTCCCAGAACTCGCGTTCGGTGATACCCTCAGTCATAAAAGTCACAGTCTTCATTGACTCAGCGGGGCAGAACACCTGCTTGAGCGACTCTTCAGCAACGCGGGTGCTGCTAGTCACATACATCCACCCGTTGCCATAGTCATCGCTGAAAGCGCTCGCGTCCACGACTCCGGATGCCAACCGCCAGACAAAGTCATCGGTGTTAGCAACACCTTCCTCGGGGGTTCCGAGAATCAGGCCGGGCTTCACAATGCCGAACTGGTTCGGGTGTGACTTGGCAAACTGCTTGACCAGAAGCTCAGACACGTACTTGGTCTGGGCGTATCCGTTGGCATGCGCAATTTCATTGGCAATCTCCTGGTCCGTCTCGTTTACATGCCAGCGAGAGCCACCAGATACGTAGGACATGCGAGGGCGGGCAGGGGAGCTGATAGCCGCCTTGATGAGCTCGGCGGTGGAGCCGACATTGGCAGCTCGGAGGACCTCAGTACCAGCGTTCCAGTTGACAGCCGCACCAGCGTGGATGATGGCGTGGACAAGACCATCGTTAGGGCTGTCGCCACTCAGCGATGCCCATTGCTTTGGCTCCAGGCCTAAACGTGGCGCGGCAAGGTTACCCGACCAGACCTCGAGCTTGCTCAGGTAGTAGTCAGACCACCACTGTGCACGAACAGCAGCATCCTTAACTCGGTTGAAGGCGTCGGATGGGCTCTTGGCGCGAACGTGGGCAATGACGCGCCCAACATCGGGGCGGTCACAGAGCTGACGCAAGATCTGTGTGCCGAGGAATCCAGTTGCACCAGTGACGAAGACGGTCTTCTGGGGCAAAGTTTTGGCAAGAATATCCTTGAACAGTGCGTCAGCCTCCTTAATGGCGTCGAAGGCAGGAAGCTCCTTTTGGACTTCACCCGAGAGCTCGGCGTCAATCAAGGTAGACAATCCACGGACAGTCATATGACCGTCGAGAAGGCGTCCAACGTCCACCTTGACGCTGTAGTGCTGCTTGATGAAACTGGCCAAGCTAATGGCTTGGACGGAATCAATACCCATCGAGGCGATGTTAAAGTCGCGACCCTCCAGGGGAGTATCCTCCCGGTTAACCAAGTTATCAATCTTCTTGCTGATGGCGAGAGCCTTGGTCTCGTTGGCCCGCAGGTTGGAGGTGGTAGGGCCCTCGCGCTTGATGCCCAGAGTGGGCTCAAAATCGGAGGGAAGTTTGGCGAGCCACTGATCCACTACCTTGCGGTCGATCTTAGTGGAAGAAGAGCTAGGGATCTTGCGTACAGCAATCCAGATGACTGGAACCATGTGCACTGGTAGGGTTTCCGAGAGGTGTTGAGTCAGGGCGGCTAGATCAAAGCCCGACTTCTCGAAATCATCATTTGGCACAGGGCTCAGGTCGGAGCCTGCGGTCGATGCGAGCTCGAGGATACCAACCAGCTTGTGAGCATACAGACCGTTCTTGGGGTAGGAGGCAACTGCCTGTGAGACGTCGGCCGGGAGGGCGAGGTGGTACTCGATCTCACCAAGTTCAACACGCTGGCCACGAATCTTGACCTGCGTGTCCTTGCGACCCATGAACAGAATGGATCCATCAGCAGCATATCTAACCAAGTCACCCGTCTTGTACAGACGGTCGCAGCGGTTCCATGGCAGCCACGGTGGACGCTGGATGAAGGCAGCTTCCGTCTTCTCCGGGTTGTTCAGGTAGTGACGAGCCAGAACATTGCCCTCAACAAGAAGCTCACCAATGGCACCAATGGGAGCGAGCTTGTTGTGGTCCTCACGGTCCGTGATCCAGTTGGCAGAGCCGACGGAAGTACCAATGTTGTTGGGGAGCGTACCAGGTACGACCTTCCTGTTCGACGTTGTGCAGACACAGCATTCCGATGGGCCGTATCCATTGACCAGGCGGACGTATGGAGTCCATGCGGCAACGTGAGCGGCGCTCATAGCCTCACCAGCGAGAGCCAGAGTCTCCAGGGTGGGGACAGTGCTAGGGTCGATGGTGTTGACAAAGGACGGGGTCAACACAGCCCAGTTGACGTTCATCCGAGTCATGGCCTCGGCAATGTCTCCACGGCGCTCAGACTCAGAGGGCACACACACACAGCCACCCTGCACCAGGGTCGACAGAATCTCGAGGATGCTGGCGTCAAAGGCATAGGATGCGAACTGTAGGACACGGCTACCCATCTGGAGCCCCTCCTTGTGAGCGAGGG